ATCGACACTAAACAAAGAACTGCAAAATGGTGACCCTGTAAAAATCCTTTATGATTGAACCTCCCGGACATTCTCTCCTTCTGCCAATAGTTTATGAGCCCATCCGACGAGCCAGAATAGAGGAAGCAACCGCCAGGTGACGAGCTCAAAGCCAAGGCATTTATCGGTGATGGTTGAAACTTTAGGGTCATTGTGAGAATGTGGGAGCTTTCACGGTAAACCCTTCGCCATATTTTCACCGTTCCATCTGAAGAACCCGTGAAAACACAGCCGTCTTCTTGGTTTATCACAATTGCAGTCACATTACCTTCGTGAGCCTCGAACGAATCGAGGCATTGCTTTTCTCTGATTTTCCACACCTTAACTGTCTTGTCCCAGGAACCTGTGTACAGAAGGTTTTCCATGTGGTTGTAAGCCATACATGATATAGAGTCTTTATGGATATTCATTTTAGCATACACCAGGAAAGATCTTCTTGGCAAGGTGGTGATTTTCTTGTGTTGAAAGTTTTCTGTTGGTGGCATGTCCCAAACCCGGATTTTGTGGTCCCCGTGCGCAGTGAAGAGCAGCTTCCCATGAGCCAAGATGGTTCGAATTCCCCCAGCTTTAGCCTTGATGTATCCCATCTCCGTGCAATCTGGAAGTTTCCATGCATGGATCCTTCTGCTGTCTGACGCAGTGAAGACAAAGTCTTTTGATGCGGCTATGGAGAAGATTTTACCTTCACTGCGATGGAGAGAGGCTATACAATGGTAGAGAAGAGATGAGTTTGGGGATGCGGATGCATGCAACGGAGATCTGGTCCACGGGGTCTCAGGGCTCATCGGCCAGAGTGGGAAAGATGCGGCAGAAGCACAAGATGTTCTTGCGGAAGCCAAATGAGAATCAAGCTCCTGGTTTCCAAATGAAAGTCTCCTTGGCAAGTTTATGTTCTTTTTCTCCTCATCCACAAAACTCCAAAGAGTTCTTTCCCCACTGAATTCCATAGCATGCAGATGAGTTGGGGCTCAAAGTGGCACTGGTTAAGAGTAGAAGGAATAATCTGATTCAGTGAGGTAATCAACTTGAACGCATGAATTTGCTATATTGATCGCTCAAGTGAAACACTTTGAACTCTGGACCAGGTGGCGTTAATAGTTAATACTATAGAACTGCCAGGTAAGGTATTGGATTGGAGTAGCTTACTGCTTATCATAATGCACAAGGGCGGGTAGGAGATCAGTTGGGATCCTCTCTGTGTCACTATTCGGTGTCAAATCCAATGCCAATTCCACTTATCACGTGATGGTAGAAGAAATTTAAATAAACAACACTTGATAAATTAAATGAACAGGACATTTGACATAAATATAGAAATCACACTGAATTGTCACAGAAAAAATAGTACTGAGGATCCTGTGTGGTAGGAGTCCCCGTTTTTGTTGGACCTCTTGCTATAATTTCTACTTGATTAAGTTGGCACTGGTGTTGTACTGTTTGTTTTCAAGTTTCAACGAACACAATAGTGATAGTAAATACCCGTTGGTGAATGACTAAACTCTAAAATTAAATTGACAAAGCTCTCGCGTCATGAATCAATTCGTGAAACGATGAGGGAGAACAGTTGTTGAATACGTGGGCGCACATAACATCAATACATTCTCAGCAAGGCAATGGGCACAGTGTCTATTTCTACCCAAGCCAAGAGGCAAGAGCCATGTTCCAGTAAATTAAGTAGCTGGTCCATAAATAACTACTGGCATTGCTATCTTCTCGGTTTAAAAAACTGTTACCCCACCCCCATGAACAGCGGTTTATTTTATCCACTTGCCGAATTTGACAGAAGTTCGGTGCTGGCAATTACTACATGCATGCAAATGTAAATGCAATTTGTTTCATTCCTCAATTTAGAGTCATATTTCCAGTTTCCAGGTTCATTTCAACAGTGATGAAATCAGCATATTGGCATTGCTGAAAAGTCTCAGTTCCGGCCAGTAAACTTACATATGAACAAGAACTCATACACCAGTAAGAACTAAAATTAAGATTTTTGCCAATTGGGATTTTTATCCCGAGTCTGGATATCAGATAATCACTTTCTGTTGCGTAACCAAACTAAGGCCTCACTGACCCCAAAGTACCTGAATATGGAAATTCTGTCGTCTCTTGGTCTCTAATAAATTCTAATCGCAGTTGCCTCTGATATATATCCTAAAAGACAAATTTCTTCAAAATCTAGCTGCAAAAACTGAAAGTAGAAAAAACTTGGGATTCATTAACCTCGATTTTCTTATCTGGCTCTGCCCATGTTTAAGATCATTGGACAAAAAATTCCTTTCTTGAGAGTTTTGTGTTTTCCGTTCTCGCCTGACATAGAAAAGAACTTTTCTGATCCAAAAGGAAAGAATAAAAGAAAAGAACGTCCAATTAGTACTTGATGGTGGTCGGATAATGCCTAAATTTCTCCTGGCTCTCTCTCTATTAAGCTCTTAATTGCGACGTTGCGGTATAGCCAACAACCCCTTTTAATGCTGCCTATCTATCATTTTAACGTATCAGCCGCTGCACCACGCCTCCCTCCAGAACCAGAAGCTTTCTACGCTGTAGGGTTGATAGGTTGGAGTTTTGGTCGTGATCGCCAAGTACAAGGTTCCATCCCATCAGTCCATCACTATTCACTATTTCTGTTTATATACATTGGAACTATATAAGTTCAAAAAATACTCAACAGATAGGTTAAGAACTTGAGAATCTAATCAAGCTCTGACCATAAATATGAAATAGAGTTGGTACATGCCAATGTCCCGTTCTAATTGCAGCATAAGAAGCAGACGAACGCTGGCTTGGTCTACCTGATCAGTAGTGTCACGGGATTGCGTAACGGGCAAAGATAGGTCACGAGCAAGTACTAACATTCTGGAAAAGTGAACTTAAATTTGAAAAAAAAAAATGCACTCTATAATTTAAAAAATAAATGTAATTGTAATGTGTGTATCAAATTAGACCCCTATTGGAAAGTTCTTTTTTTTTTTTTTTTTTAGGTATAACCCACAGGTGTTCGCATCCGTTTTACGATCTGCGACTAATTCTATTCGAGTAGGATCGGCCCCTTGCAGGGAAAACTCTCCCAACATTATTTTTTCTATTCCCAAGAGTTTCGAATCCGAGATCTCATCGATAAGAGATGCAAGCCTCTTCCTGTCTTCTACTTGCACCAATATCCATTGCTTATTGGAAAATTCTTTAATGAAACCAAAAGAATCTAGATCATTTTTTTGCAAGTACTTGATTTCTGTTAAGAAATATCACTCGATATGGATCTTGGCCCGATTGTATCAAAGAAACGGGATTTCAGTTTGTTTTCAAGGAGACGCTTTGAAAACGACCGGCATTTTAAATGGGTTTGTCAATTTTCAAAGAATGTGGACGGACACTAATGATTACTCTTTGTCCATTACATATTTATTGCCTTAGCAGTCTTTTTCCAAGCTGAGAAACTCAGACTTTTGTGTAAATAAACCTAGATCCCCGAACAACCTTCAAAAGCCGTGAAAGTCACTAGGCCCAAAAGTGTGAAAGTCTAAGGTTCTTTTACGTGAACGCCCTTATTCAGGCTTAAAGGTGGTATTGGTGCCCTTCTGAGATGATAAGAAGAGCACGGCCATTGGGTGGTACCGTTGAACTAACTCACAAAGCTTGTGGCGATGGCAATTCATGCGCCAGAAAGTGTAAAAGCAAAAGTCGACAATTCCCTTTTGCGAGTGCGCAGATGAATGATAGCGCGATTGGATACAAGTTGTAGAGATTTTGTATGGCATACCTATTAAGTGCACATTCTACTAAGTTGGAAGTTTAGTGCTAATTCATTTTAATTACCAGCCCCACCATCTCATATCATATGAGGACACAAGACTTTCCAATTTGATCGATACTACCAAATTTGGAATAAGGCCACAGTAATATATAGTAGTGAAGTGAATAAACGTACGTGGAATAGTAGTATTTGATGAATTGGAGTTGTCAATACGTCGTCACTAACAACATTCTGATGCAGTCCCAGAGGACAAAAGGAATCATGTGAACCCTCCCTCCCTCCACTAACGAAAACAAAATGCTTCAATTCTTCAATTGGACATGTTGAACCATGCATCAACATACGTAAATGATTAAGCCCATTTTTAGTACAACAATTAATATCTTCCACGATGGAGCCAAAACCTCCAAATATGCCAACAACTCCTCACAAGATTCCTCCCAATCCCATCTTAGAATTGATCAATTACATTGATCAAACGTACCCCTTGAAAGTACGTACGTGTGCATTGCAATAATTAAGCAACAAAAATTAGATGCTAGCAAATAGTAATTAGTAATCCTACTCCATTCTCATCCACACATTTTTGAGCAACTCAGTCCTCCTCAATCAATCATCCCTACCTCTTCAAAAAGTAATGGTCGGTCCACTTTTTGGCGCAAAGTTAACTCATGCCGGAAACCACTTTCTTTCTTTCTTCCTTTCCTTTTCTCTCTGTGTCATTATTTGACTTAGTTCCTTTTTTTTTTATCACAAAGGGAGGGAAAGGGGGGGGCCCCAAAAGGGACATTCACCATTAGCCTCCTCTCCTATTGGTCGGTTCACATGGATGCATCATTCCTGACAATTGCATCCAAGGCATGTTAGTCAAGGACAGCTAGGAGGATTGCAAGAAATGTATGTACACAGCCCTTGTTCGCAAATGCATGGATTAATTGTACACAGCATATTCCTCTCATCTTCTAACGAGGAAAACAGTCATCCGGAGCTCGGGATCCCAATCCAATATCGATGACCCAGCAGTCACATTATCATCAAGTACATAATCCAACTACTACTACTTAATCTTTACTACATACATAAATGATTATCGGTTGGGTTTAGAATTTGGCAAATGGCATGTGCTACAGGAACAAAACTCACGAATAATTTGCTATCCAAATACCTTTATTTTATTTGTACGTGTTTAGTATATATATTTGTACGTGAGACAGAAAAGGTAGCTTTGTCATCTGAAAGCTTTCTATCCATTTCCTACATCTAGCTCCAGCCTTCCGCCGCTCTCAACTCTCAGGCTTATCTTCCTCTTCCTCCCCCTTCTTCCCCAACCACCCCCCAAAAGCAAAAGGAAAAAAAAAAAAAAAAAGGAATGGCTGGAATTGCTTTCGGACGGTTTGATGATTCATTTAGTGTAGGGTCTCTCAAGGCATATCTTGCTGAATTCATCTCCACATTGGTTTTCGTCTTCGCCGGAGTTGGTTCAGCCATGGCCTACAGTAAATAAGCTTCCTTATGTACCTTTACTTTCTAGTTTCTAGATTATCACACAAGCCTAGTCAATTTTAACGTTCAAGAAAAAGATGAAAAAGAGAAATGCATTTTTAACAGATAACATTGATCTTTAGCAGCGATAATAGCACACACCTGATAGTGTTATTAATGTTCCCTACAATCATTCAATGCATCTCAATGACCCAAAAAACCTAGTATGGAGTCCTCATCCCATGCATGCCCATGCAGATTTGAGTTGGTCACTAAGGCCATTTATGGCTTGCTTATAATCTCTTGACTAGCTTGTTTACATAAATTGTGATTTGTGGCAGACAAACTGACATCAGACGCGGCTCTTGATCCTTCTGGGCTTGTGGCAGTCGCAGTTTGCCATGGTTTTGCTCTCTTTGTTGCAGTCGCCATTGCAGCCAACATCTCCGGCGGCCACGTCAACCCCGCCGTTACTTTCGGTTTGGCTCTGGGGGGTCAAATCACCATCCTCACCGGTCTCCTATACTGGATTGCTCAACTTTTGGGCGCAATTGTGGCTTCCTACCTTCTCAAAGTTGTCACTGGAGGCTTGGTAAGTTCCATTTCTAACGTCCGTAATTAGTGTGTTTCGAAATTATAGATGCCTTTTCTAATGTAATTTTGTGGTGAATTTTGTCAGGCTATTCCAATCCACAGTGTTGCCGCCGGGGTAGGAGCACTTCAAGGAGTTGTGATGGAAATCATCACCACCTTTGCTTTGGTTTACACAGTCTATGCCACGGCAGCTGATCCAAAGAGGGGTTCACTGGGTGTCATTGCCCCAATTGCCATCGGTTTCATTGTCGGTGCCAACATCTTGGCCGCCGGACCATTCTCCGGTGGATCAATGAACCCAGCTCGCTCCTTTGGACCGGCCGTGGCGAGCGGTAACTTCAGCGGCAACTGGATTTACTGGGTTGGACCCCTCATTGGTGGTGGCTTGGCCGGTGTCATCTATGGCTATGTGTTCATGCAGCATGACCATGCTCCTCTTGTTAGCGTTGTTTAAATTATGACAATTTGTCATTATTCCGTTGGTTTTCTCTCCCCAACAAAAAACCATTACAAAAAAAAAAAAAAAAAGTATGGCCAAATTTGTGCTATTCTTTGCTTTTCATTCTTGGTGTGTAGCTATGAATCCATTTCTGCCAAGAGTTGTCTTCTTATCTTTTGAAACGAAAGGATGATATTTCAACCTTTGAAGCCTGCAGATAAAGTCGGTGAATATCAATTATGTAGCACCTACACGCCTAATTCCGCAAATGGGTAAGTTTCGTTCAATAAAAAGCAATAAAATAGACTAGAAGGTCATCAAAAGATCCACGTTCAACTACAAAAAAAAAAAAAAAAAAAAGAAGAAGATGGGATCTATCAAAAAGTATGCATGTCTAACATAATTACTGTAATATCTACAATATTTTATCAACAAACAGCAAAAAACACAGATTAAATAGATCAATTGAAATTGGAATTGAGCTGCAGAAATTAAATATAATGTCCTATTGTATTAGGCTATCAAATTAGGTTTGCTGTTCTTAAGACTCAGAAAGCAAAGCACAAAAATGTATCAGAAGAAAATCAAAGAGAGAAACATTGAAGAGAATAAGTGTACCGCATTCTTACGCTACTGTCACTAGCAGCCTTGATGATCAAATTTCCTCCTGCTGTAAGGAATTTGAAACTTTTAATGCTTATTCACACGTATTTATATATAAATGCTATGCTACTGTAACATTTACAATATTTTATCAACAAATGAACAAAAACTTGGATTGAATAAATCCATTGCAATTGGGATTGAGTAGCAGGAATTAAGTATGAATGTATTGTTGTATTACGTTATTAAATCAGGGAATGGTTATTGGATCTTAGGAAAACAAGAATGAACTAAAATATGTTGTTTATGAAGAAGAAATAGTAAAATAATAAAAAATGGAACAAAGAGTGACAAAAAGAAAGCGTGATAGAAGATTCGTTATGCATTTTTTGCAATAGTGTGATTATGAAAGTCAATAAAAATTTTGCTTTCGCAACCAGTTTCATAATCTTTTTCTCTCTGGATAGAGCGTTTCCTCCCAATTAGTGCTTATGAATAAGGTCCAGTTTAGACATGATCCTTCACCCTTCAATGCTTCGTTTAACACGAATTGTTACCTTTAGCTGCTATAGAAAAAGAAGCAAGAAAAGGAACCAATCTCATCCGGCCATCCTTTCTCGTTGGAAAAATTTCCAGATTTTTTCTTAATGGACTCGTACTAATTTGTACATTAAGAATTACTACTACATATTTGCCCTCCTATTTGCCCTTTGGCTACCAATCCTTAAAGCCAAATTCCTTCTATTTGCCCTCCGGCTACAAATCCTTAAGCCGAATTTTATTGGTCTAAGTAGTGTTTCCAAAATCAAGATAAAATTATTAATATGCATCACCCACAGATTAAAGTATTATAATATTTTATGCAAGTCTTGACATGCTACACAAGCATGGAAAGCCAAAAAAACACAAAAAAAAAAAAGGGCAGGGAGAGCCAATGTATTGACAGAATTAGTCTGCCAGGCTGCATTGAGCAATGCTAAGGCGGCACAATTGGCTTTGATGAAGCAGAAGCCTGCTAGGCTAGGAAGAAACACAATAAAAGGAAAAGGAAAAAAAAACACGAGGGTAAAATGAAATTGGATCAAGGCTCCCTATATAGAGATTATTTACTCTCACTATTTTGCCGGTTCTTCTGCGTATCTGCTTGGGCCACCTTTTTGTTCTGTGTAAAGTCGGAGATTTTGCAACCCAGAGTATATGTAGTGTTACAGATCATCCAGGGGAAATTCTTAACAAACACCAATTATAATTTGCAAAATCATAAGAAGTAACAAGATGCATCTTCTGGGGGTGGCTGCTTCCCATAATTCCATTCGTGCATTTTCCATTCAGGTAGTTGCTGAATCACAACCTGCAGAGCAAGTGCACGAGCAAAATGAAAAGTTTTTAATTCTCATGGGACGACCAAGAAACTGGATGTCTGACTTCCATTTAAATCATTCAGAAAATGAAAATATTTGTGATGACGAGCCACGATTTTGAAGATTATAAGTTGATTTGTTTTCCTTTTTGTTCTTTTTAGATTGAACTAATTTCATCTGGCAAAATTCGACGGGCTTCCGTGTATCTGAATTGTGCCATTATGATGTAGAAGGACCCATTTACCTGACATAAGAGTTGGGCATTCACCCAGAAAAATCAACAGAAGAGAACTGATGAAGATTTGTTAAAATATGTCCAAAGAAAACATAAGATGGACTCCCCTCCGACAGGGAAAGAGGCGAGGAAGAGACTCGGCATGGCATGATTTTTAACTAAAAGCATCGAGGTTCGTGTTAAGCATATCAATTCTTAGCTTAGAAATTGCATTTTTGAAACGTACTTTGACTTAAAATAAGCATTGATGCATTTACGTGAGAAAGAAAACAAATACTCCTACAGTAGTAGCTAGCGCCTAGCTTCCAGGTGGGTGGAGGTGCCATTGAAGCGGATGCAATGCACTATATAATATATATATATATACACATATACATATAAAAGTCTAATACAGTAGCCGAGAGGGAGAGATTACGAACCAGCCCCGTCGAATCTGGTTTGCCAACGGTGGTTTGACAAGCAAGTCTCCAATTTCTTGGATTCTGCAATTTGCAGCATCACATCAGTGCTAAGTGGAGTTAACATTAGGAGGGCAATCTTGTTGATTCCTCTATTTCTAATAATCCCAATTCCTTCTTTGTAAACTTTTTTTTAAAAAAAATCCTACTCTTCTTCCATTTGAAAAAAAGAAAAGAAAAGATCCTACTCTTCTTGGACTTGTAATGATTGTTAAGGAAAGAAAAGAAACCCGTTTGAGCTTTTCTTTCTCTTTCTCCGTGCGAGGGCTTAATAGCTCTCTCCCTTCAACAACCTGAACAAAATACACATAAAAAAAAAAAAATTCTCATGAACAAAAGGGGGGAAATAAAAAAGAAACCTGATTGGTTTCATGGATATAGCTGCAGATCTTCTTTTGATAGAGGACCACAGGTTAACAAGCTAAATAGTCTTCTTCGCTATATGCTTAATGACATCACAAATTACTAACTAAACTCTAGTCGTAAGAAAAACTAAAAAGTGAAATTATATATTGATCATCTTCACCTCCACAATGCACGTCCCACAGGTTCCTCCTCCACCACAATTTAGCAAAGGTCTTGCCTATATATGTCGTCAAAAGAACCAAAACAACAAATAAATAACTAATATGGCTAAGCATCATGAGAAACATTAAGCAAGAAAAATAATTGTAATCTAGTTTTATCTTTCTCAATTTTACTCTTCTACTATTAAAAGTTAAAAAAAAAAAAGAAAAAGAAAAAGAAAGGGAGAGTGAAAGGGACTTGCATATGGTCCATACAACTCAACATTAGAATCAAGCATTATGTCTCTGAGTTTCTGGCCCCCGCAAGCTTTGCGAAAATGCACGTCAGGTGTTCCATCAGGAAGCAAAACTGACTAACCACAAAATCACAATATAGTATACTGCCACTAATTAGAAATGATCGATTAAAAAAGAAGAAGGGGTATTATGAACTGTGAAGTCCCACAGGTGAAGTGACTCACGCTAACGAATGCAAAGTTGACTGCAGGAGGCTCATGTGAAGTTGTGCTGGTCTCGGCTGATTGGCTATCTGGAGCAGAAGACCCAACAGCTCTGATTTTTCCTTTGGACAAGTTCAAGTTGAGGTGCTGCTTATCCGCGCCTTGGAACCTTGCACAAGTTCTGGCATTGGTAGGAGCTGGAAAAAAGTTACTGCTCTTCAAGCTGTGAGACGACACTGAGAAAGAAGCTGCTAAGCGGGCACCTGAATTCAGTTCCAGAATTCCCATCTTTCGTTTAGGGGAAGTTTTTTTTTTTTAAAAAAAAAAAGGGATATATTCTATTGAGATGGATATAGTGGATTGGATAGTTAGGATGCTCCTCTTGGAATTTGCTTGTGGCCCTTATTCCTCTTATCTGATTTTGCAGGCGTTTGATCGTGACACAGTACTGTTGGGGGTAGGAAAAAAGGGAAATACGCTAGAGGAAGGGGTTGAACCTTCGACCTTGTGGTTAACAGCCACACGCTCTAACCGACTGAGCTACTCCAGCTTCTTGTGTAGGCGGTGTGTTAAATTAATTATAATTTAGCAATGAGTTTCCTTCATATAAAAAAATTTTAAAACATACAAATAGTAACTAGTTTGAACTTTGAAGCAATATTAGAAGGTCAAACATATTCTTTTGACTCTAGAATGCAAATGCTAAAGTTCATATATTGTAAATTAGTGCTTAATATCCTACTCATTTTCGTTGAGAAGGTATTAAATTACCAAAAACATTGTTTTGGCAAATGCAACGTTGAACTTAAATCCTATTATTAATTGATGTTTGGTTTTTTATTTAACAAAAAGAGAAAAGAAGTTACTTAAAACAACAGTAGTTTTAAACTTATCAATTATGTAACTATATTCAATTGTTTGGAAAGAAAATCTGCAATCAACATAAAATTCCATTAAAATTCTTTTACTTTATTATTTATTATTCTTTTTTTTTGGAGTTCAAGTGGCATAAAATTCCATATCCGACCCGGGCGCCATCACAGACTCTTTGGTGGGCTAAACGGGGATGACGAAAGTGGTTATGGGTTATGGGTTTTTGCTGAAAGTGAAACGAGACTGAAGTAGCCTTAAACCCTTTGGGGAATGGCAGAGGGAAACTGGGAATTAAAAGGCTACAAATACAAGCAACACGAAAGGCAATGCCTCCCCACTTAACTAACCTTCGCCTCCTATTCTCCTCCGCCAATCACCATATCACCACCCTTCCCGCCTCTTCAAACCTCCTTTCTTCCTCCTTTCCTCTTTTTTCCCAACCCAAAATCCAATCTTTGCAGCTGCCGCGCCGTATTTTTCCCAACACTCTACGTTTCTTCACTACTTTTTCTTCTTATTCCAGAAAACCCCGCCGGAGTAGCAATAGGAATAGTTCAAGTTCTCCCTTTTCCAGCACTAAGCAGCATAGAAACAGCAGCACTTCTAATACGAGAGGGAGGGATAATAATTTTAATAACCAGAAAGGTGGGTTGTCGATGGAATTGGAAAAAGAGGCTGGTTCTGCTGACAACGCTCTTGAGTCAAC